ACCCAACAAGCATAAAACCTGGGCCTGGCACAGAAACGGAAAGAGCGCTTCAGAATCTTGACCGATATTGCTCACACCACCGTTCGTACTGGGAGCCTTGGCGTTGAAAGCTTGTTACGTCAACCCGCGCTCTTGGGTGTTCAGAGATTGTTGCGTTGCCGCCCGCTCCTGAGCCTTGGCTGGGCCTTGGTGTCAGGAACTTGTTACGTCACCGCTCCCTGCTGGGAGCCTTGGTCTGATCAGCTTGTTTACGTCACCGTTAGCTCTGGGGAGCCTTGGTGTGAAGAGCTTTTTGCGTTACCGATCGCGCTTTTTCCCAACCCTCCTTGGTTGGGTATTCGTTTTGAATACAGCACTGTGGTCGCATCCCTCCTCCTCCTCCTCCTCCTCCTCCTCCCGCCTCCCGCCTCTTCTCGCCTCCTGCCCTGTCTTCGCCGTCGCTGAGGGGCTGCGATCTGCGAACCTGCCGCCACTTTCGAGGGCTGCTGGTGGGTCCAGCGGGGTGAGGCACCGCGCAGATCTGAGCGGGACCTCGCCGTCCCTTGGGGGCTGCGATCTGCGAAACTGTCGCCACGTTCGAGGGTTGCTGGTGGGCCCAGCGGAGTGAGGCACCGCGCAGATCTGAGCGGGACCTCGCCGTCCCTGGGGGGCTGCAATCTGCGAAACTGTCGCCACGTTCGAGGGTTGCTGGTGGGCCCAGCGGAGTGAGGCACCGCGCAGATCTGAGCGGGACCTCGCCGTCCCTGGGGGGCTGCAATCTGCGAAACTGTCGCCACGTTCGAGGGTTGCTGGTGGGCCCAGCGGAGTGAGGCACCGCGCAGATCTGAGCGGGACCTCGCCGTCCCTGGGGGGCTGCAATCTGCGAAACTGTCGCCACTTCCGAGGGCTGCTGGTGGGTCCAGCGGAGTGAGGCGCCGCGCAGATCTGAGCAAGACCTCGCCGTGCCTAGGGGCTGCGATCTGCAAAATTGTCGCCACGTTCGAGGGCTGCTGGTGGGTCCAGCGGAGTGAGGCACCGCGCAGATCTGAGCAAGACCTCGCCGTGCCTGGGGGGCTGCGATCTGCGAAACTCTCGCCACTTTCGAGGGCTGCTGGTGGGTGCAGCGGAGTGAGGCACCGCGCAGATCTGAGCAAGACCTCGCCGTGCATGGGGGGCTGCGATCTGCGAAACTGTCGCCACTTTCGAGGGCTGCTGGTGGGTGCAGCGGAGTGAGGCACCGCGCAGACCTGAGCGGGACCTCGCCGTCCTTGGGGGGCTGCGATCTGCAAAATTGTCGCCACTTTCGAAGGCCGCTGGCGGGCCCAGCGGAGTGAGGCAGTGGGGCACCGCGCAGATCTGAGCAAGACCTCGCCGTCCCTGGGGGGCTGCGATCTGCGAAACTGTCGCCACGTTCGAGGGTTGCTGGTGGGCTCAGCGGAGTGAGGCGCCGCGCAGATCTGAGCAAGACCTCGCCGTGCCTGGGAGCTGCGATCTGCGGCACTGTCACCGCTTTCGAGGGCTGCTGGTGGGTCCAGCCGAGTGAGGCACCGCGCAGATCTAAGCGGGACCTCGCCGTCCCTGGGGGCTGCGATCTGCGACACTGTCGCCACTTTCGAGGGCTGCTTGGGGGGCTGCGATCTGCGAAACTGTCGCCACTTTCGAGGGCGGCTGGTGGGTCCAACGGAGTGAGGCACCGCGCAGATCTGAGCGGGACCTCGTCCCTGGGGGGCTGCGAGCTGCAAAACCATCGCCACTTCCGAGGGCTGCTGGGGGGGTGGGTCCAGCGGAGTGAGGCACCGCCGTGCCTGGGTGGCTGCGATCTGCAAAACTGTCGCCACTTTCGAAGGCTGCTTGGGGGGCCAGCATGGCGACATGCGAAACTGTCACCACTTTCGAGGGCGTCCAGCGGAGTAAGACCGCGCAGATCTGAGCGGGATCTCGCCGTCCCTGGGGGGCTTCGATCTGCGAAACCGTCGCCACGTTCGAAGGCTGCTGGTGGGTCCAGCGGAGTGAGGCACCGCGCAGATCTGAGAGGGACCTCGCCGTGCCTGGGGGGCTGCGATCTGCGAAACTGTCGCTACTTTCAGAGGCTGGTGGCGGGTCCAGCGGAGTGAGGCACCATGCAGATCTGAGCGGGACCTCGCAATCCTTGAAGAGCTGCGAGCCTCACGAATGCCGCTCGCAGAAATATCTGAGCCCATGTCACGTCATTACTTCCGTATAACGTATCCCAAGCTACTCATGCCCCGCATTACGCAGGGGTTGGGTACGTCGCCAAGGTAATTGTGGCTTCTCTGGGCCTTCTTGGGAGTCCTATTGCTGCCCTTTTCAAGCCCCTTTGGGGGCCTCTTGGGGCTTCTTGGGGGGCTCTTGGGGCCTCCTGGGAGCTTCGTGGGGCGAAAGGCTGGACTTTTCGGTTGGTGGTCTTCCTCTTGGGGCCGTCTTGGGGCCCTCTTGGGCCGTCTTGGGCGCCTCTTGGGCCGTCTTGGGGCCCTCTTGGGTCGTTCGTGGGCCTATTGGGAGCCTCTTGGGCCGTCTGGGGGCGGTCGTTGGGGCCTCTTGGACCATCTTCAACACCGTGAACGCCGAAAAGCAGCGCATGGTAAAAATGTACCTTTTTTTTCCCATCGGAAATTAATAATTTTGGCCTCCTGCTGGCCTCCTGGGACGCCTCTTGGGGGCCCCTTGGGGCTTCTTGGGGGGCTCTTGGGGCCTCCTGAGAGCGTCTTGGGGCGAAAGGCTAGACTTTTCGGTTCGTGGTCCCCCTCTTGGGGCCGTCTTGGGGCCCTCTGGGGCCGCCTTGGGCGCCTCTTGGGCCGTCTTGGGGCCCTCTTGGGTCGTTTTGGGGGCCTCTTGGGAACCTCCTGGGCCGTCTTGGGGCGGTCTTGGGGGCTTCTTGGGCCGTCGTCAACGCCGTGAAAGTCGAAAAGCCGGATATGCTAAAAATGCACGTTCCCTAAGGAAAATCAATGATTTTGGCCTCTTGGGGCCCTCTTGGGACTCTTGGAGGCTTGTTGGGCAGTTTTGGGCTCTCTTCTGGAACGGAAAAGGTGAGAAACCCGAAAAACATACACAAAAACCCCAGGGAAAACTGCCAAAAACGGCCATTAGACCACTGCACTCCCCTTCACACCTCCCCTGGACCCCCTCCCTTAAGGGCTTCGCCCACACCAGAACGTCATCACTCATACCTCGCTTTTTCCGTTACCTCGTAAAACACATAAGATTTTGACGATTCTGGGACTCTCGGGCTTCTCCTTGCGCCTCTCTGGGAGCTCCGGTGCATCTCTGTGAGCGCTTGCGGCCATCTTCGGCTCTGCGGATGCTCTCTGCCACCGTCCTGACGGCATCTCGGAGCCCTCCTCGGCCGGCTGGGCGCCTTCTTGGCGCTTTCTTGAGCCGTCTTGGGCGCACACAGAGGGCCCCTGGAGGGCGTTCTGCGGCCCCCAAACTAAATTGTGATGTATTTTGTTGGTCTGTCTGTACCCTTCTTTCGTGGCGTGCGACGTTTTCGGCCTCTTTGGGGGCTCTTCAGGGCGTATGTTGAGGCCTCTTCGACCCATTTGGGAGCCTCTTCGCGGCGTCTTCGGGCTTCTTCAGCTCTTCCGCTTCGAGTCCGCTCCCTCCTCTTCAGAGATTCGTTCAGCTACCCTGCTCTTTCTGCACCACACCTTGCCGGCACGACGACAACGAAGCATTTAACGCCAAGGACTCTGACGAACCCGTCAATCGCAAATGTTCCAAGGGGTTCCCGAACTCCTGCACTACCCACGTCCCACATGGCAGATCATAGTCCGCGGGGTGTTGTAAAAATGTCAACCACGACGCCCAACACGACGACCACGAAGCAGGACGACACCAGCAAACACCAGCAACTCCATCACAAGCACTGGACGCAACACGAACGGCAGTTCCACCAGCAGCCTGAGGAGCCCGAACAAAAGCACAACCAGCAGCAGCACCAGCCCGCCGACGACGTCGACGACGACCTACTCAACAACAATGAAAAGGACGACCACCACGACCACGACGCAGAACACGACGACCACGACCATGACAACGACGCCGAACACGACGACCACGAAGCAATGACGAGCACCACCACGACGCCGAAAACGACAACCCCGCCGTGGCGATGTCGTAGTCATCTCTGCGGCACAGTGGTCTCCCCCCGAAATCCACTATCCAAAAAGGTGGGGCGGCGGTGTCTGCCCCCTCAGAGGCGTTCAATTGAATCAGATTGATACTCACTGCATCTTAGTATCAGGTTAGCCACGTCAGGACGCCAACGCGTCGAAGCATCCTCCAGCCCCTCCTCCAGCACCACAGCTCCAGCTGCTGCTCCTCCTCCTCCGCGGCTGCTGAGGGGGACAATCGCCCTGGGCGTGTGCAGCCAGCCGGAGCCGCGTAAAGCCCTTACGGCATACAAACCGAAGAAAGAGCTCGCGTGTGACCCGACTTAAGCGCCGCGGGGCTGAGCGGCGGGCGTTGCACCAAGTGAAAGCGAAGCCTGGCGTAAGCCAGAACAAATATGGTTTTCCTTTGACCTCTTCAACCACGGGGCGACTTCGCTTGTGCCGGTAAAACAAGAGTGCGTCGCACTGGGCTGCGCACATGGTTCCGACGTGGTCGGCCGTGTGCCGGCAAACGGGCAAACGGGCAAAAGCGCACTGCGCGGCTGGATGCGCGCCTGCAAACAAGCAAACGGGCGGCCGCTTATGGGCACAGCCGGAGAACTTGTACGAAGTGGACGCCTAAGAAACCTATGAAGTCCCCCTTGGGTGACCACAGGCAGGTCTGTCCGACTCGCACACCTGCGCAGCACCGCTGCGAAGGAAAGGGATGCACCTGTTCGGTTCTCTAGCCGCGGCACCTGCAAAGCTGGCCAGAGAGGAGGTGCTCCTCACGGGTCTGGCATATCAAAGCTGGCCAGAGCAAGTTGCTCCTCACGGGTCTGGCATAGCGCCCTCCACTCGCCCTGGAGCCCGCCCGCGTCCGGCGCGCCGCTCTGGTCCGCGTCATCAGGGGCGCCCCCCGAGACCCTGCAGCCTGCGGACCACCTCGCCCCCCCCCTGCTGTCGCAACGTCCGCGCCGCGAGGGCGCCGGAGCCTCTCGCGGACGCCCAGCGCATGCGCGCGGGCACCTGCAGCAGGGCGGCCGCCGGGGCGCGGTGCGCGCCGAATCCGACGCTCTCGAGGCTGGTGCTCCTGTTGGAGCTCAGCCTCCCTAGCGTGACTGCTGTCAGGGAGGTCGTGGACGCGCTGGAGCTGGGGGGCGTAGACTCTCGCGAGGAGAAGTCCTCGCGGCTCGAGGAGTGCGCCCCGCACTGGTCCGTGCGGGCCGGCACCGCCGTGCTGCAGGCTTCCGGGAAGCAACTGCCCGGGGCGGGGGCGGAGCACGGGAGGCAACCAGGGGCCAGCGCGGTTGCGTGCGAAGGCGCCTCCTTCGTGGCGCAGGCGAGCCAAGGGTGCTGCAAGCACTGTCGCGCCGTCGGGCGGTCCTCTGGCTTTGTGGACAGCAGCTGGAGGACCAAGTCCCGCGCCCCTTTCGGAAAACCGGCCACGCCCTGCAGACATACAGAGTTCAGAGGGTTCTTTGCCAGGGTCTCCTTCTGGTTAGGCCCGTGGAAAGGCCCATGGCCTGCCAGACACATGTACAGGAGCGCCCCTGCGCAGTAGCAGTCTACCTTGGTCGTCAGCGCCGGCAAGCCCGGGTGGAACATCTTTGGGGGGAGGTATCCAACGCTGCCCACCTTTGACGTGGCAGCGTCCGTGTCCCACAAGAAGCAGGCCAATCCAAAGTCCAAAATCTTCACCTGATTGCCACAGCCAGCCAGCTTCATATTTTCTGGCTTGATAGTGTGTGAACTGGTTCACGGCGCGGTAACCGAACTCTGGGTTACCGTTCCTCATGCAAGCTCACTGGCTCCCCTGAGCCTCAGGTAGCTTGTCGTATCTGTCCATGTTCAGGTTGAAGATCTGCTCCCCACCATTTCTTTCCTCGTCAGTAACCATGCCTGTACAAGTCGTCTCCGCATAGTATCGTATTCTTTTTGTGTTCAACCCTTGACAATTCAACTTACACAATGGTCTCCGACATGCATATCTCATAGTGAAATTCCTCTGCATACTGAATAATAGATGTCGTCGAGAATCTCTCTTATCATCATTTCCCAAGTTGTACTCCTCTATATACTTGGCATGTGTACTGTATCTCCGTGTTGAAAGTTTTTGCCACTCCTCCAACGTCTTCTCTCCGATATTCCACCGTCCAGGGCACGTCTTTGCTGCGTGACTCCATGCGACAATTTGTTCACCTTCTGCTCTGCGTAGTTCGATATCTCTCTCACACCTTGCACACTTGAGTATCGTTGCCAACGCTTGTTCGAAAGGGGTCAAGAATAGATGCATCGACTCATCATCCTTCGCCGTTATGTTATGAAAAAGCCGTCTCTCTTCTTTCCTCCGATGAAAGTTTGTTTTGCGTCCAGCCCGCTGAACACCTGCCGCATCACGTCCCGGGCGCACTCCTCCGGCAGAGGCCCGTGCCGCGCAAGGACCGCGTGGAGCTCCCCACCGGGGACGTACTCGGTCACGAGGGCGAAGGCGCCCATGCCCTGGAGCTCGTCTTCGCCGAGCTCCTCGAGCTCGCTCTCGTGGATCCTGTAGACGGCCTTGAACTCCGGGAACAGAGGATCGTTGGCCCAGCGAAGGAAGTTCGACTCCCGGAGCGGGTGGGAGTACCCCCCGTGCTCCCTGCTGAAGAACACCTTGACGGCAACCTCGCTCCCGCTCCACGTGTCGTGCGCCAGGTGCACGCGCCCGAAGCCCCCGTGGCCCACCTCCCGGCGGAACCGGTACCTCTGGGTCAGGCCCTGCAGGACGCAGCCGGCCGCCGAGAGCTTGTCCAGGAGCTGCCGCGCCTGCAGCTCCGTGCCGCACTCGAGGACGAGCGGGCCCCCGCGCTCGGGCAGCAGCCGCTCGCCCCGGAAGGCCGCCCGCGCCTGGCCCGGCGCGGCCTGCAGGCCGCCCGCCACCTCGCGGAGCTCCTCGGCCGCAGGCAGCGTCACGCTCACCACGTCGGGGGTGTGCGGCACCTGGGCGGCCGCGGCCAGCATCAGCGGCGCCCGCACTGCAAGTTCGAGGCCCTCCGCGCCTTGCCGGTAGCAGAGGAGGGCCTCCTCGCTCGCGCGAACCTCGACGAACACCGTGTCCAAGCCCAGGCGTCGCGCGCGCGAGAAAGCGCCGGGGCTCCGTGGAGCGGCAGGCGGCGCCGGAGCTGCGGCCGGCGAGGCGGGCGCGGGGCTGCCCGCCGGGACGTGGCGCGCCCTCTGGAGGAGGCCGCCCGCCAGGGGCCAGCTGCTGCCCGGCGAGGCGGCCAGCGCGGCACCGGGGCGCAGCCGCAGGCGCAGGAGCGAGGCGGGGTCGGGCGCCGCCGTCATCGCAGGCACCGCGCCGTCCGAAGCCTCGCGCGCGGGGGGGTCCAGCTTTCCCTTCGGGGTCATCTGTCGCAGAGGCAGTGACCTGCTCATCCCGGCGCACAAGGGCGCGCCTCGAGCAGAAAGGGTATCGTTGGAGCCAAAGAACTCCGGTCGCCTGGGGGCCGTCGTTGGGCCGTCTTGGCTTCCTCTTGGGCAGTCGAAGGGCCTTCTAAGGCCGTCGTGGATCCCACGGGAGGCCCTCTGAGGCCGTCTTGGGACCGTCTTGGATGCCTCTTGGGCCAAGGCAGGGTCCTCTTAGGCTCATCTTTGAGCCCTCGTGGGGAAATCTTGGGCAATCTTAGGGCCATAATGGAGGCTTCCTGGGCCGTCTTGAGCTGACGGAAGCCAACACAAAAAACGAGAATGCTGAAAGTCCGTCAAACCCCCCAATGGAATCAATGGTGTTGGTTTCTTCGGGCCCTGGAAGGTGTCCCCTTGATGCCCGAGTATGATCAAGATGTTGCAGAACAGTGTGTTTCGTATGGATTTGATCAGTGATGATGGGCCTTCGTGCAGAAGGCAATATACTGCCCCTCTTCGTCCAAGTCGAAAAATATGCAAAGGGATCGCTTGATGACTGCGCATGATCCACATTTTCCCGCACTGTGCACTTTGCCTTGTGTTGTGACAGGGATCGTGTGGGGGTGGCTCGTCATGGTTCCAGGTTCACCCCTGGTCAGGTGGGGGAGGGTGGGTACATTAATAAAGATCAGTGGTCAAGCCCGTCCCGAAGGGAAAGAAGAAGGTTGTAAGAACAAGCTCGAGAAACAACTCACGCCAGCTTGATCCACCGATCCATCCTCGTGGAAAACCACGTCCGTGTCCTCGGCAACCGCTGGGTCTGCCACACAGCCGTCACCCCCCCACCCCCTGGACGTCTCCGTTCGGTATCCCCGCCCAGTCCATGGCTGGCACGGCTTCGACCCTGTTCTGACCCCATCCGCCGCCACCCGCTAACCCTGAGGACATCTGTTTTCAGCACTCCCCACCCCGCCCCCACCTCGACCCCAGGAGAGCCCAGAATCGAGTCGATAAGTCGGATCGGCGATCGGAATGAATCGGATCGGCGGAAATCGGAAGCAAATAGGGAGAAAACAAATCGGCGGAATCCGGCAGGCTCCATTCAGAAACCGAGGAGATCCAAATCGAAATCCGAAATCGGATAGACTGGCAATCGATCGAAATCGCATCGAATCGGGCCGGAAGCATCGAGATGGGCCCTGCGCCCCACCGCGCCCGACATCTCGCATCCCCCTGCCCCCTGCTTCCCGCCTCTGCCGCTCCACTCCTGCCCCCCGCTGCGCCCGGCAACCTCTGCCCCCCCCCCGATCCGCGACCCCGGCCTCTGCTCGGAAGGAAACCCTGGCCCCCGCGGCGTCCCGCCCAGGCCATCCGCTCCCCCCCCCGACGCCACGTCGCCCCAGCGCGCCCGACCTCCACCGCTTCCCAGCGCGGGCCCCTGAGAACCCTCTGGTGAAGAGGCCGCCCATTCGTCCCCGGATGTCTCGACCCCGCCGCGCTCGACATCCCCCCTGCCTCTCAGCCCGTGCCAGCACGCTCCCCATTGCCCTGTTCTGGCCCCCCTCCCGCGCCCTCGCCCCCATCACCATCTGGACGTGCCTTCGGCACTGGCCACCCCGTCCCTCCTAAACATACGACCACCCGACAGCTCATGCTCCCAGCCTCTGTTTCGCAGACACGCCTCCCCCTTGGACGTCCAACATTGGTACGGACAAAACTGGGTACGATGCCCAACAACAAATGCTGTCCAAATCCGGCATCGGCCGCTGTATGGCAGGCGGCCTTCTGTCTCCATTGGACAACGTCCGCGGCGACACCGACAGCGAAAGCCTGTTCAGAAAGAGCAGAAATCCGCCGATCCTGTCGGCGTGTGGAATGGGTTGTTCCTCTCGTCCGTGCCTCCTTCCCTTTCCCACCTTTTCCGTCCCCTTCTCGTTCGTCTCTTCCTCCTCCTCCTCCTCCTCCTCCTCCTCCTTCAGGGTCGGCGGCACCGGCCGTAAAGCCTTCACAATACTGTTTGTCGTCGTGCCCATTCTTTCCGCACCCATTTCGATCGCACCGACGTGTGCGCACGACATCCCTCGACCTCCAAGCCGCGCCACGCCTTTCGGCCTGCGCCGCTGCGACGCCCGCCTTCAAACACCTGCCCCTGGCCATTGCTTTGAAGGCCCCCGCTGCTTCCCGCTGGGAACCGATCCCGCAACCGCCTCGCATCCGCTGCGACCCCAAGGCGCCAGACATCCGCCACCTGTTTCCGACCGACTGGCATGACGCAAACGCGTCCTGAAGGGGCCCTGTGTTCTGATTCGGTCGCTCCCTTGGAACATGGTGGGAGCGTTGGGCGACGCAACCGCCGAAAGAGTTCAATCGCTGCTCGCGGGTAGAAGAGCGCGGCACGGCCGCGAGAGTTCCAGCCGCACTCAGGCGACAGAGACGCCGATGCAGTTGCCAGTCGTAGAAGACTGCTCTCGATCCCGTCGGAGATCGCGGCACTCATGCGCGGACGTGCCGTCGCACGCGCACAAGCTTTCAGCGAGCGATGACAGCGAGCGCACCCCGACCAATCGATTCGCACCTTCAAGTGCGGGGCGGGACACCTCCCCCTCCTCCTCCTCCTCCTCCTCCTCCTCCTCCTCCTCCTCCTCCTCCTCCTGCTCTCCTCCTCCTCCTCGAACCTCGATTCTCGATCCTCGACCCTGGGCCCTCGGCACAGGTTGGAGCCTCCTCCTCCTCCTCCTCCTCCTGCTCCTCCTTCTCCTGCTCCTCCTCCTCCGCCCCACGCGCGGGCACTGGGCACCGTATCCTGGTACTCAGCCCTCACGTGCAAGACACGCTACCAGGGCTGCCCGCTACGGCAGGCAGGGAGAAGCAACGAGGCGCAGTGTCTGGACCCAGCGGCACATTCGTCTTCCTCGATCCTCGACCCTCGGCCTGAGCTGGGGCCCCGGCGCCACCCCCTCCTGATCATGCACAGCGCCTGGGGCGTGGCGACGACGCCCCGGACAGCCTCGCTGGCGCGCGGAGGCCGTGGCAACCCCCGAGTGTGGAGTCCTCCCCTCCTCCTCCTCCTCCCTCCTCCTCCCTCCTCCTCCTCCCTCCCTCCTCCTCCCTTCGTCCTCCCCCTCCTCCACCTCCTCCTCTCCTGCCCCACCTCCCTCTCGTCCCCCTCCTCCTCCTCCTCCTCCTCCTCCCTCCTCCTCATCATCATCATCATCTTCCTCCTCATCCTCCATTTCCTCCTCCTCCTCCTCCTCCTCCTCCCCTCCTCCTCCCTCCCCCTCATCCTTCTCCGCCTCCCCCTCCTCCTCCTCCTCCTCCTCCTCCTCCTCCTCCTCCTAGTCCTGCTCCTCCCTCTCCTTCCTCCACGACCAGGCATTGGGTAAGGAACCTGGGGCACGACCTATACGGGCGCAGCAAGTATCGGCGCCAGCCAACCGAGCGCCTGCGGGCGCGGGTAGCGAGGCGAGGGAGCCTGCGCTTACAGAACCAACGAGCATTCGAACACATGATTTGTGTTGTCGTCTTCCCTCTCGCGTCCCGCCCGCGACCCGCCCGCGACCCGCCCGCGACCCACCCGCGACCCTCCCGTGACCCACCCGCGCCCCCACCCGCGCCCCACCCGTGACTTGGCCGCGAACCACCCGCGACCCATCTGGCCAGCGACCCCCCCGCGACTCGCCCGCGACCACCCGCGACCCAGCCTGCGCCCGCCCCTTCACAGTTATCCGCAACTGCGGGGCGCCATATAAATAAGATGTATGTATATATATATACACACCCGCACACACAGACACCCACACACAAACACACGCGCCACCCCCACCGGCGTGTGCGAAACGTTTATCCATTTGGGCTGCCGTCGTCGCCGTCGCCGCCCCCAGCCTTTCCCTGGGCCCTCCTCCTCAAGCGGTCCCGCCAAACGAGAATCAAACAACGACGCAATTGATTCAGAGGGAAGCCCTTCCCTTTGATCCCTTCCCTGCGGGGGGAGGGGCCAGGAGGAAGAGGAAGAGAAGGAGGGAGGGGAGGGAGGAGGAGGAGGAGGAGGAGGAGGAGGAGAGGAATTGGGAGAAGGATAAGAAGAAGGGGGAAAAGGAGAAGGATAAGGAGGAGGAGGGGGAGGGGGACTGGGGGGATGGAGGAGGAGGACGAGGAGTAGGGAGGAAGGGGAAGGAGAGGAGGGGGCAGAAGAAAGGAGGAGGAGGAGGCTCGGGAATTCTCTCTTCGGACAAGGGCGGCATTACAGAGGGGGGGAACAGGCAAATTAACAACGAGACCGAAACAATTTCTGCTTTCGAGGCTTGCCGGTGGCCGGAGTAATTACCTATTGCCAGGGCTTACCGGGCAAACTAGGCCTAGGAATGCTTGCCCCAAGCGGCAAGCGACAACTATAAAGATTCCTGCCTCGGTGTGCCCAAGTGCTACGCTTGGGATATCGCGACAACCGCTTGACCAAAGAGAACGAGAACAACGATTGAGCAGGGCAATTGTTCAAAACGCGTCACGCGCACCAATATTAAGTCATCTTTTTTTAATTCGCCCGGTTCAAATTCATCCCGTTTTCTTTTTCGCGGGTTTGAAATCGCCCGGTTTAGATTAATATAATCTTAGTTTCGTGGGTATTTTTTTATATGGTTTTCATTTGCCCGGTTAAAACTCATCCGGTTTCAATTCGACCGTTTAGATTCACGCGGTTGAAAATCGCCCGGCTTAAACTTCATGGGGTGATGATTCGCCCGAAAAAAAAATCATACGGTTTGAATTCGCCCGGTTTAAAGTTCATCCGGTTTTTCATCCCCCCAACTGCCACACGAATCACGCAACGCAAGAGCGGGCGAAATCGAAGCGGGCGAAACAAAAGCGGACGAAACAAAAGCGGACAAAGAAAAGCGGACGAAACAAAAGCCGGACGAAACAAAAGTCGGGCGAACTGCAAAGGAAGACGAAACAAAAGCGGACGAAACAAAAGCGGGCGAAACAAAAGACGGCGAAACAAAAGCGGGCGAAACAGAAGCGGACGAAACAAAAACGGACGAACCAAAACTCCACCCCTTGGCAATACCTGGTACCGAGCAATATCATGAGGGACGGTACCGCGACAAAACCTTGGAAGCGGCTCCTTGGCAACACCATGGGGGCGGCACCGTGGAAGAACCGTGGCAATACCATGAGGGTCGCTATCCTGGCAGTACCATGTCGGTACCGGTATCGCGACAAAGTGGCAATTTTAGCAGGGCGGTACCAAGGGGGTAGTACCGTGGCGGTACCGTGGCAATACCTTGGAAGCGTTGTATATATATATATATATATATGCTTGGCAATACCATTGGGGGCGGTACCGTGCCTATACCGCGGCGGTACCATGAGGGCTGCACCGTAGCGGCAGTGTGGCAATACCGTGGCCGTACCATGAAACCGTCCGTAGTGCTGTGGCAAACAATGGTACCGTGGCAATGTGGTAGACCACGATACCATGAGGTCGGCACCGTGGGGTCGGTACTGTGGTACTGCTGTAATCTATGGTGCCAATGCTGCGGTAATGTGGCAATACCGTGGCCATACCATAAAACCGTAATGCTGTGGTAGACCATGGAACCGTGAGGTCGGAACCGTGGGTTTGGTACTGTGGTATTGTAATTATGTGGTGGATCGGAGTGCCATGGCCTACGGTACCGTGAGACCGTAATGCTGTGGTAGACCATGGTACCCTGGCAATGTGGCAGACCATGGTACCATGAGGTCGGTTACGTGGGTTCGGTACTGTGGTGTGCTGACGTAATTGACGGTGACGGTGCCGCGGTACTGCGAGGCCGTGTTCTGCGGTACCGTAGAACTCTGTGGAAATCCGTGGCACTGTAGGAATGCTACTTGCCATGTCATATTCCCTCCCACTTGTTTCGGTGCATGAGGCCATGCCCCCTGTACCTGAAGAGCGTCGTCGCAAAAAGATACCGTGAGATTTTGAAATCTGGCAAGGACATGCCGCACGAGCCTAATACGGAAACGCATCGCCGTATCCTGGCAGAGGTCCGCGCCGAAGTTCAGAAGGTCACGCGGCAAATCCAACAAGAGGCTGAACAAGACAGCACGCACATCAAAACTGTTACAGACAAGGTAATTGCATGCGCTGATCCAGGAAATCATGAAACAGGATAAAATCGACGGCAAAAAGCAGATCAGGGCGAACGCCGCGAGGGATAGAAGTCCGACCACCATGTCGAGAGCGTGGCTGTGCAGCATATCAAAGACATGGCCGAATCAGAGAGGCAGAAGATTACTGACCGTGCAGAGGCCGCAGCTCAAAAATCACTGAAGAAGGCCACGGACAGGCCGCCTGCCCTATCTGCCGCGGAGGCGCACACAGCCGATTCATCAACTTCCTCTGCGGCCTTCACGACGAGCCCTACCATGTCTGCGGTAACAGAATCAGCGGCACTCCGCCCATCCAGCAAACGCCCCATCCAGCCGCAAGACAAGAGGCCGAGCACGGCGATGCCATGGAACGCGTTTCTTTATTTTCGGCAATGACGGGCGTCATGGGGGGGGGGGCAAGGGGGGTATGACGTAACGCCCTCTCCCCACCGAGTGGCTCAGGCACCACAGGCGCGCCCGCGTGCACGACGACGATGAGCGACGAGCGACGAGCGACGAGCGACGAGCGACAAGACAAGATCCCATGGAGTCCTCTCAGGTCAGCACAGCCTGTGAAACCAAAACTCTGGGTAGGCGGCTACACCGCCGACTGTATGAAGATACGTAGTGCTGAGACAGCCACGCTCTGCTCATGGCAGCACTGGCCCTGGCTGGGGGTCCCCCAAGGGCTCGCAGCCCAAGATCGGGGTACCAGCTGTTCAGGAACCAAGTCCACCTCTCTTTCCACGACCCGACGACGACGACGACGACGACGCGAGCAGCATGTATGTGGCGATCTGCCCCACAGCGCCTGTGTACACCACAATGCTCCGGTGCACCACAGCGCTTGTGTACACCACAACGCCTTCGTACACCGCAACAGCTGTGTGCAACGCAGCGCCTGTGCACACCACAGTTATTGCGTGCACCACAGCGCCGGTGTACACCACAACGAATGTGTACACCGCAGCAGCCATGTGCAATACAACGCCTGTATACACCACGCACCGACGCTTGCGCACCGCAGCGCCTGTGCACACCACGACGCCTGTTTTACACCACAGCATCCGCGTGCAATGCAGCGCTGGTGCACACCGCAGTGCCTGCGTGCACAGAGCATGAAAGAGCATGTAAGTGAGGATCTGCTGCGGACACCCAAACGCCACGCCAGGGAACTGTTGATAATAGAATGCGATGTTTTTACCTCCTTCCTCGTCCTCCACCTCCATATGTTCCTCCTTTCCTCCTCCTCTTCCTCTTCGTCCTCCTGCACCGTTCCGCCGTGTCGTGCGGGTCGGCGCTACAGCGCACGTGCGCACCTCAGCGTGTACCGCAGAATGGTCGATTGAATCGGTCCACTTGGTTCTCGGACGGCCAATTTCGCTGGAGCCTCCTGGACGCAGATGGGAGGAATTAGGATGATACGGGCGGATTCGGAAGATTCGTACACTCCACCGGCGTTCGTTTTCTCATAAAGATTCCTTTCCAAATATTTATTTAAAAAAAAAGGTTTGTTTTCGATTGAATCCACAGGCATTCTGTTTGTCATAAAGATTTCGTTTGAAATTCTACATGCAACAGTGGTGACGGGCGCCGTGGTGCAGACAGGCGCTGTAGTGCAAGCAGGCATTGTGTTGTACACTGGTGCTGTCTTGCACACGACGACGATGTAGTGTACGCAGGCGCTGTGTACACAAGCGCTGTGGTGCTCGCAAGCACTGTGGCACACACTAGCGCACTAGCGCTGTGTTGCACGCGGCTGCTGTGGTGTTCATAAGCGGTGTGGTGTACACAGGCGCTGTGGTGCACGCAGGCAATGTGGTGTACACAAGCGTTGTGGTGCAGATCGCCACTGGCCTGCTGCTGCTACCCCTC